CTTAAAAAATTGAAAGCCAGTGGAACTTGGTTTCCAGGCAATTAATTCATTCATCTTCATACTTTTATTTCGCACGTAAAATTTCAGGCAACCACCGCTTCAGCACCACTGGTTGACGTTCCACTACAACCAGGAATGGTATCAGTTCGAAAATTCACTCATTCCAGTTCCAGCACTGGTCTCCGGAATGGCCTATGAATTCACTACAATTGTACGGTGTTTGTGCCCAGAGAATGGTATTTCGGATGATGTCCGAGTACTTCTCGTTGGTCAAGAAAAAGTAATCGTTGCTGCACTGGTGACCATGCCTGTGAGTGAGATGAGCTTGCTCGATTAGCGCAGCACACCCTCTGATTTATGTTTTATTGGCTTTTTATGCGTTTTTCTGTGTTTTAAGATCTTCCTCCAAACGCGCTTGGACCCACGAAAAAATATGCAAATTTCATTGGCGAGAAACGATTTCTGGAACCAGGCAAGGCACGAAGCTGAAATTTCGCAGGAATGTTCCTTGTGCATGTATGAGCTAAAAATTTCAAATAAAGCTGTTGTGCGCGCTTGTGTAGCGCGTACGATGACGTCAGGGTTTGCAACTTGTTCTTATACGCAAATAAAAACGCACTGTGACTGTTGTATTCAGGTATATGCGCCTGTGAGTATGCATATTTATGTATGTTTCCTTCTGCATAGTCGATTATGAATGCATATGAAATTTTTCATTTTACAAAAGTAGCCCAAAATTCGAATTAAAGCACCAAAAATTCGAATTAAAACTGCACCTTTTTGCTTGGTCTGGCCTATAATCTAAAGCCCAAATTTGGGCTAATGTATAATAACTTGAGGATAAGGAAACTGCAAATTTTGAATTTCGTGAGGTTACTTTACTAAATAATTACAGACAAATATGGTAGGAATCAGAGGCTTCAGGCTGATTACACTCTGCTTTACGAACATAAGCTCAAAACTAAGCCTTTTGTGCAAAAAGAACTCGGACCATAACAGCCGGGAGGTATAAATTCTGATGGCTTTGATTCGTTTTGCAATTAATTCTGCGTGAATGGCCCAAAGCCAACTTGAAGGCCATTCGGTTTCATGACCTATTATCATACTTTTAAATACGAATTATAACTCCTAAAAGAAGCAAGTCCGGAATCTGAAATTTCGATGCTTTTCATGTTCTGGTTCGACCAAAGATCAAATTTCTTCGGAATACGGTATTT